TATCTATCTATCTATCTATCTATCTATCTATCTATCTATCTATCTATCTATCGTCTAACTTTTTAAACACCCATCTCTTTCACTCTGAGCGGTGAATTATAGTGAGGAAAAACTGGAATACAGAATGCCGGGAGGTAAACAGGACTTAAACCTACCATAAAACGAAAACAAACAAATTAAAGAGTAGTACCATGTTTGAGAAACCTTCAAACAGGCATGATTCTAACTGTTTCCATCTCCTTTTTTTTTCTTTTTTAGGAAAGAGAACAATAATTGTGTCTGGACGTTTTGTCATCATGCGGCGTAGCCGAACCATGTCCTTTCTGAGCATGGAGGTAAGAAAATAGGGGGAGAGGAGAGAAATGGAGGCCGTGATGGCTGGCTGAACTATCTGGAGATTGGGGGAAAATCAAAGTCCATCCTTGCCAAACTGGGTATAAGGAAAACCTTGGCTATGAGGATATCAACGGAGGCACAATTCCCCCAAAATAAGTTGGGGCCGGAGACTGTGGTGTTAAAGCTCCACCTCTTTTTTCACATATTGTGGACACCATTTTGATTTTCCTCATGATTCCCCTGCAGACACCCCTGTTGAGATTGATATAAGGTTGTCTGGATACTCAATTTGAGAAGATCAATCAATAAAAGGTGATTATAATAAAGGGAAAGGTTTCCCTGCCCAGTCGTGTCTGACTCGAGGGCACAGTGCTTATCTCCAATTCTTGGCTGAGGGAGCCAGCATTGTCCGAAGACAACTTCCATGGTCAGGTGCCCAGCATGGCTATATGCCAAAAGCACACATATCAGGGGTGAATTGCTGATGGCGTTGCTGCTGGTTCACTTTCCTTGCGCATGCACCAGCCGCACGATGCTCGCTCATGCACAGTTCAATGCAAATTGTTCTGCGCATGTGCAAGGATCATTAAAAAGTAATAAAAACCTTGCTGGCAACGGCAGCAGAGACTGGGGAACTGATACAGGGGCGTGGCCAGCCTGGGTCGCTGCCAGTTCGGGTGACCCAGGCCAAAATATCACTACCAGTTTGTGTGAACCGTTAGCAACCCATCTCTGACACAGATGCTGTTTACCATCCCACTGAAGTGGTAGCAATAGCAATAGCACGTAGACTTATATACCGCTTCATAGTGCTTTACAGCCCCATCTAAGCGGTTTACAGAGTCAGCCTCTTGCCCCCAACAATCTGGATCCTCCTTTTACCCACCTCGGAAGGATGGAAGGCTGAGTCAACCTTGAGCTGGTGAGAATCGAACTACCAAACAGCCAGCAGCCGGCAGAAGGAGCCTGCAGTACTGCATTCGAACCACTGCACCACCATGGCTCAGTAGTACTATTAGTCTAGATTTGATTATGAGAGTAGCAGATAAATACACAAAATAAATAAGATAATACGCTGGAAGGCAAATGACATTCCATGATCGTCTTCTTTTATGAGCCAAATTATACATTTCTTCACCAGCAATTTATTGTACATCTGAATCAGGATAGCCTGGCAAAGCCAAGCTTTCTTCTTGGCATTGCCAAGCTATCCTAATTCAGATGTACAGTAAATTGCTCACAAATCATCCATTGCTGGCCTTATCTTGTCTCCATTTTATCTCTCATACAATCTCAGATGGATTCTTTAGGCATTTCAAAACAGCCTCTTTTTTTCCTAATTAAGACATCATGCAGCCTTTGGGTATAAACTTCACCTTGCTTTTTTGGAGGCAGGTGAGCTGATGTGACCAGGCTTGGCCTGTCACCCCTGATAAATCTGTGGTGGAAAGACACGCATTCCTTAGGAGAGAGGGCAGGAAATGCAAGTTGTTGGCTATTCATCAGCCAATTAGCACTCTCAAAATATTCTGAGTCCAAAAGGACAATACTGCAAGGACCAGAGGTGGGTTCCTATTGGTTCAGACTGGTTTGGCTGAACCGGTAGTAACTTGATGGCGTGGGTCGCTGAAACCGGTAGCAACCCGTGCCTGCCACGCAGGGGTGGGTTCCTGCCAGTTCTAACCTCTTCTCTAGAAGAGGTTCCACAAATCTACAGTGCCGTTTAGAACCAGTTCCAGCTCCCTCCCCCTGCCCGTCTGCACATCATCAAGATGAAGAGCGAGAGGAGGAATTCTGGGAGTTGAAGTCCACAAGTCTTAAAGCTGTCAAGTTTGAACACCCTTGGGGATTTTTTCTAAAGGGTTAGGGGTGCAAGGGTCTTGTAACTTGACAGCTTTAAGAATTGCGTGCTTCAAATGCCAGAGTTTCTGAGCCAACATTTTGGTTGTTAAGCAAGAGCGTTGTTAAGTGAGTTTCACCACATTTTGCAAGTTGGCCACGCCCACCCAGTCACATGGCTGGCAAGCCACTCCCACCCAGTCACATGGCCAGAAAGCCACTCCCACAAATCAGGCCACACCTACAGAAGAGGTTCTAAAAATTTTTGAAACCCATCACTGCTGCCACACCCCGAACTGGTTCTCCTACAGGGCCGCCATCTTGTTTTTCGGTTCTGCACATGTGCAGAACAATTTTTAGTGGGAAATTTTATTTATTTTTCATTTCTTAAGGTTTTGTGCATGCACAGACCTTTTTATTTGCAAATGTGGACATGGGCGTAGTGTGTGTTTGGTGTGAGTGCGAGCGAATCGAGCGTGTCCGCGCACAGTTTTTGAAGCACTGAACCGGCAGCAATGCGGGCAGCAACCAACCCCTGGCAAGGACCCAAAACAGCAAGAAGAGTTCATGTAGCATATTGCTATTCCACAAAGACAGGATACACTCTCAGCAAATGTGGGCCACCAGAGAGGTTCAGCAAAGCCTGAATTGTAGCCCATAAACAAGTGTGAAGAAAGCCACATCATTTATTAGTGAAGTGTCTGCTTTGCATGCCAAAAACATTTCTGTTTCCTATTCATCTTCAATCTTCAGAGCTGTCTTTTGACTTCTCACATTTCTTTGTCAACTGCTCAGCCAGGTGCTAGCATTTATTTGAGTCAGACAGAGCTTGAGAAATTTAAACAGAACTTGGATAGGAGAGCATGAAGAAATTTTAAGGCTGCTGGCCAGACTAGGAAATTGAAACTGGGGTGGGGGGAAGAGAAACCTCCCTGGAAGAAAGGAATGGCAAACCACTTTTATACTTTTGCCAAGATAATTGTTTGGATATATAGGTGTGCAAGGAGTCAAATTTGATGCGAAGAAAAGTATTATTCTGGGCAGGGGGATGAACCTCTAACGTCCCTTCCAATACTACCCTTTTACAGTTAATCCTCAACTTGCAACCATTTGTTTAGTGATTGTTTGAATTACAATAAAAGGTAAAGGTTCCTCTCGCGCATACTGTATGTGCTAGTCTTTCCCAACTCCAGGGGACGGTGCTCATCTCTGTTTCAAAGCCAGCACTGTCCAAAGACGTCTCCGTAGTCATGTGGCTGGCATGACTAAACCCCAAAAGCATACGGAATGCTATTACCTTCCCGGAATGCTATTACCTTCCTATTTTTCTACCTGCATTTTTACATGCTTTTGAACTGCTAGGTTGGCAGAAGCTGGGACAAGTAATGGAAGCTCACTCCATTACGCGGCGCTAGGGATTTGAACCGCTGAACTGCCGACCTTTCTGATCGACAAGCTCAGCGTCTTAGCCACTGAGCCACCGCGTCCTCTATGAATTACAATACCACTGAAAAAGTGACTTATAATAGTTTTTCACACTTATGTCCATTGCAACTTCCCCATGGTCACATGATCAAAATCCAGATGCTTGGCATTTGGCATGTACTGTATTTATGACGGTTGCAGTGTCCCTGGATCAGGTGATTCCCTTTTGCGACCTTCTGAAAAGCAAAGTCAAGGGGGAAACAAGATTCACTTAACAACCGTGTTACTAACCTAACAATTGCAGTGATTCACTTAACAACTGTGCCAAGAAAGGTCATAAAATGAAAGAGCAAAATGGCCTCAACAACGGTCTTGCTTAGCAACAGAAATTTTGGCCTCGATTGTGGTTCTAAGTCAAGGACTATCTGTATAACATATCGGTCAGTCAGAAAAATGTTGATCAGTTGGTTCATGGCGTTTTCAGGATTTTGAGCGTGGTACAGTGGCGGGTTGCACGTGGTACGCCCTGGTATGGTATACTGGTGCCTGCCTGGAGCACTGGGTACCGTTCCGGTACGGTGCTCCAGAGGGCCCACCCATCCGCCTGAGCTCCTTACCTGTATTTGAGGTCTTTGGTGCTTCCGTGCATGTGCATGGAGCGCACGGCGCCTGCATGACACTCCGCTGAGCAGCTGGAGTGTCCCGGAGGCTCGTGGAGGCATCGGAAGAGGTAAGGACGCATGAGTGTGCTGTGTGTGTGCGCGCGCTGCGCATGTGCATGTGGGCGACACTGGGCCCTGTTGCAGCGTACCAGTTGCAACGGGATCCTCAACCCACCACTGGCTTGTTAGTAGTAAAAAATAACTGCTGATTGGCCTCCAAAGGATTTTGCAGACTGAACTGACCTCCTAGCCAGGAGCTGACATGTCTGATCCTTCTCTTCTTCCTCTGTTGCCTTCTCCTTCTACCCAGGATGATGGAGGCAAGCCTCAGCCTGCACTGAAGATGTTACACCAAGTCTTATGTTTCAGTCCCACTGTTTCTTGGTTACCGGTCACGCTTGTTCAGCTCTTCCACGGTCCAGTTAAACTGTCCAGTGTTTTTTTCTTTTATATATATATATATATATATATATATATATATATATAAGATTTTTTTACAACCCCTGGTAAGCCCCAATTATGGGAGGAAGGTCACACTTCCACTCTCTGTCTTCGGCTCGTCACAAGAGACCATCCAGACAGAAACCCAATATTTTTTTACTGTTGCCTTTTTGCTATATTTGTTATATTTATGCTGATAAATAAATAAATTGGGTTTCTGTCTGGATGGTCTCTTGTGACGAGCCGAAGACTATCTGTACTAGTCTCCCTTTATTTATTTATCAGCATAAATATAACAAATGTAACAAAAAGGCAACAGTAAAAAATATTGGGTTTCT